GTTAGTATATAGTTATAGTAGTAATTATCACCATTTAGTAGTCATCATTTCCTTAAAATATATAAAGTGAGTATGTAATAAAAATATTTTATTGTTAAGTTTTATATAAAAAAATTCAACTTTTTTAATAGATGTTAACAGAAGACCAGGTAAATTTATTTTTATTGTTGTCCATAACAGCAGCAGTTGCTGGCCTAGGACTTCTAAAAAGACGGAGGAGATTTAAAATGAAGCCTATGAATAGACAGCGAGATAAATATAGTGTGTACAAAAAATATTGGAGTTTGCTGCTAAACAAGATAGAAAACAATTCTTTAAATACACCCGAATGTCACCAGAAATGTTCAAACATCTTTTACATTTATTGAAGCTACATCTATAGAAGGATAATTCTAATTGTCCAATATCAGCAGAATAACGCCTCGCAATAACTCTGCAGTATGTATGCTACTGTTCTTTTTATAACGTTTAACTAACATAAAGACATTTTAGCTATTTATCAGAGGGCTGCTCTATGCAGGAAATTGCGTGGAATAATTATATTGGAAAGAGTACTGCCCACTATATAATCAAGGAAACTTGTGAAGCTTTGTGGACGGTGTTAAAATCAATCGTTTTACCAGAGCCAAGTGTTGAGATGTTAAAACAAATTGCAACAGAAAATTATAAGAGGTGGAATTTCCCTAACTGCATAGGTGCCCTCGATGGAAATTGTGGTAATTCAGTGTCCAAAATTTTCAGGGAGCAGTTTTTACTCGAACAAAAAATCATTTAGGTAAGAACTAACAGTATTAATTTTAGTTGTTATAATAATAATTGTTTTTTTTTAGTATGATTCTTTTAGCTACATGTGATAGCTATTATAAATTAGTTTACGTGGACATAGGAGCAGCTGGATCGAATCATGATTCAGCTGTGTTTAAAGCATCAGGATATGGTAGAGCCCTGCTAAGTGGAAATCTAAATATTCCACCTCCTACAGTGCTGCCTGGAACAAATATTGTAATGCCACATTTTTTTGTCGCTGACCAGGCATTTCCGTTGCATGAGAACATCATGCGGCCCTACCCAGGGACTTTCCTAGACGACTCCAAAAATATTTTTAATATGCGATTATCAAGGGTCCGAAGAACTATTGAAAATACCTTTGGAATCCTTGTCCAAAGATGGAGAAGATTACGAGGCCCTATAATTGCAAGCAGTGATGTCTGTGAAATAATTATAATAGCTTCTGTAGTTCTCCACAATTTTGTGCAAAAAGGAGAGGAAGATATTCTGAAAGAAGGTACTGCCCTACAGGTTTTGTAGATTGGGAAGACACCCATGAGGAAATCCACGAGGCTAATTGGCGTATCAGACCAGAAAGGCTACGAGTTGTGGGGAGGCTTGGATCAAATAATGCAGCAAGGCTAGTTCAAGAAATAAGAAACACTTTGGCTGCTTATTTCTTGTCGCCAGAAGGCCAAATTCCTAACCAGTGGAACAGAATTCAAGAAGGAAGAGTACCCAACAATTTTTAAATAAATCTTATGTTTAATAATTACTATTGTTTTTATGTTTATTTCCAAAGTTTATTTCTAATAAAGTTTCATATGACTGAAAAAAACGACTTCTAGTTGGCTTTGAAATGACTATCAAAGACATTTTTTGCTATATAATTTTACATACAAAATAACACCGATCTTAATTTCCAACCCATCTCTGTCGCCGTTTTTTTCATCATATAGGTATATGTGTGTGGATGGGGACATATAAGTACTGTGTCCCCGAATTGCCTTTACAAGAGGAAAAACTTTTTATTATTTACATTTTGGAAAAATAAATAAGTGATTAACCATTTTAGAACAAGGGAAAATTTTTATGAAGAATGCATTTTACTCAAAAGGTGTTAATAATCAAAAAGTTTTTTCTCTTGTAAAGACAGTCTGGGGATATACTGTGTAATACCATATGACCGAAAAAAAACCGGCGTCAGCGATGGATATGAAGTGAAGATCGCTCTCATTTTATAAGTAAAATTATATGGGGATATAGAGATGGTTGTTATTTCTATGCCAATTGGACGCCCTTTTTTATCGATCATACAGTATGATCGAATAAAAACGACGTCAGCGATGGCTATGAAATGAAGATCGCTGTCATTTTATATGGAAAATGTCATCCATATTCATTTCATAGCCATCGCTGACGCCGTTTTTATTCGATCATACGGTATACAGGGTGTCCCAGAAATGAGTGCAACTATTTTAAGGGTGGTAGATCTGGTCAAAAGAAACATATTTTCTCTTTACCATTTTTAAAATAAATTGAAAATAACCGAGTTATTTAACTTTGAAAGTTTTAAAAATAAATTGCCACATTTTGAAAGCCGCCGGGGAAAATCAGCAATTTCCCGGATCTCCCCTTATTCGCCGCCCGCTGTTGCCGCGACTATGAAGTCTTAAAAACTACTTGCAAAATTCCATAACAGTAAGTGGATGATCGCCAGTAGCCATACTTCCCACATTTCCCAAATTAAATTAAAAGAAAAAAACTTACCAAACATTAAAAAAGGATATCCCGATAGAAGATCGATATAATTGCAAAGCTTTCTTTTTTTCCATTTTACCAGTCCTAAAACTGCCCTTAACACTACATTTAACTTCACTACAATTCTTAACAACACTTGAACTTTGATGCCACCTGAGGATCCAAACTTCCAAAATCCCTCAAATGCTGAACCATACTCACAGCTCACAGAGTTTACACTTGATAACGGTAAGTGATCCTTCTGACCGAAATGTTGGGTTAATCAAAATAAATAAAGACAATGAAGTCCGAAATTCTTTTCCTTTCAATATACTCACAAAGGTTCGAGCATTCGTGATCTGTCTATTCGAATACTCTTCGGAATAAAGCCTCTTAGCTTCCGCAGCCCCTTCACTGGCCAGGAGGAACTTTAGGTAGAGTTTAGAAGCATATCCACCTTCTTCGGATTTGTATAGGCCATCGCGATTTACCGATACCGATACCGATTACCGACACAAAAATATGCACTAACGAACATTTTAAACACAATCTCCGATAATTTTCTGGAGTTTTAAAAGCTCGATACTATTAGAACGATTTCTGACAGTCGAACGTGCTGATCATCTTATTTATTAACCAAAATACCAAAATTAAACTCAAATCGATAACCCAGCGACATCTATAGAATAACGGATTAAGTTTTTTTTTTGTGAACGGACAATCGGCACTGTGGCGTGCAAGGCAAGTCGTATTAGACGGGAGCGGTAGAGGGCCCTAGTACGCTTAACGGTATTTACGATTTCTCGGGGGTTCCCAAAATAGCTATATGGATAACTTTCTGGAGTTTTAAAAGGTCGATACTATTAGAACGATTTCTGATAGTCGATTGTGCTGATCATCTTATTTATTAACCAAAATTACTCAAATCAATTAAGCAGCGACATCTATAGAATAACGAATTAAGCTTTTTTGTGAACGGACAATCGGCACTGTGGCGCGCAAGGCAAGTCGTATTAGACGGGAGCGGTAGAGGGCCCTACTGGTCTTAACGGTATTTACGATTTCTCGGGGGTTCCCAAAATCATTTAAGGAATGTAAACAAACCAAAATCAACGTATGTTGTACGTGTATTCGTGTATCGTGCGTGTATCGCGTAAAGTTTTGGCACTTCTGGTGTAAAATTATTAATTTTCTTTTGTGGGAGAGTCCAGTAGAGGTTTTAAGTAGTTATTAAAGCAAGTTTGGTAATTTAACACTTTTTGTTGTATTTGTGAGTTTAGTGTTTAATTATTATGAATATTTTAAATAATATTTTGCAAGTGATAGATTTGTGATGTTCAGATTGTTAGATATTTGGGGTGTATGTGTAATGGTATATGTTGGATAAAAATACTGATCAATTTTCATCAAAAGGGTAAGCTCTAACTTAATATTTAAAGATTATAATTGTTGATTGAAACAAAAAAAAGAAGCTCTAATAATTTATTTTTTCAGCCTACTCAACTGTAAAAAGTACTTAAAACATTGCGCGTTTTCCTAAAATTTGTATATCAATGTCTATGTTTTCGTATTTTTCTATAGAAACTTATGGCAGGCTTATACAACATAATCGTAAATACGTGATTAAAATTGTGATCGTAATCACAATTTTAGTCACAATCATAAGAGTTAAAACCATTATTTTAGATACGACCGTTTATACATCGCAGTCGTAATCATAAGCATAATTTAATAACCTTGAAGTTCGTAAATTTTAACTTTTTTGATTGTGATTACGACAAAAATCGGTTAGGGGGCATTATTTATTTATTTTTTATTTTAATGTTTATTATGATAATTTTCGTGTTTAAAAAATCTGAGTAACAAAATTTAAACAAAAATACACTCTAAAATGATGAAATAGAAAATTAAGAAAATTAGGTTACTTTATCAACTGTATTTACATTCCAAGTTATGAATGCGACTATGTTGTATAAACGCATATTTAAATTGTGATTGTGACTATGCTTATGCTTAAAACAAAAATTATGATTATGATTACCATTATGTTGTAGCCCATTAAAATTATTACTGTGAATTTATAAACATTTAGAATGTTGGTATGGTAGGAAGTGGCAACATTGCATTCTCTCCGAGATTCTCTCTATGGACGGGAAACGAATTTCCGGAGAGTGAACAGTGGCACTCAAAAGTTTTTCAAAATTTTCCGGAAAATGTCAAGAAAAATATAAAATTTTTAACATTTTTTTTTGCAAAAAAACCTCATAGGCGTGTTTCTGGGGTTGAACTATACTACCAGTTAAAATATTTGCACTCATTTCTGGGACACCCTGTATATATTTAGATATTTTGTTTAATTTATTATATCCATATAATTCCATTAATATGTTGTACCCTGTATCCATATTTTGTCTAAGAAAATAGAAAATAAACAATATTTGCAAATTATAATTTTTTTTATCAGAAACAGTAGGTGATTAAAACAATGTATAATTATTCTAATTTTATTTATTTCTTTCTTCCAATATCTCTGCCACTGTTTCCTCTGGTGTTAGGACTTTCATATCTTCAGCCAAATTTTTTGTAAAGTGGGATTCGCTGTCCTCTGTAGGTACAGGTTGCTCCATTGTCATTTTTTTTATTAAACGTCTCGAAGCATGTGCTTATTTCTCGCACAGCATATCTTGAGCGTTTCTTTTTCTTGAGAGAGACCTAGGAACACTCTTCCTAGGTATCTCTCCCATTGTTGGGGTAATCTCCTCTATCGTAGATCCACTGGAACTCGACTGGCCGATCATATCATCATCTAGCTCAGCCACCAGCTCGATAACATCTGACTCACCAACAATGGTTTGAAGACTATCCCAGGCCGAACTTGTGGATGCCTGGGACGATATACTACCATAGTTACAGCTGGTTCTGTAACAATACATAGGTAACTTTATATACAAGCAACAATGGTGAAAATATTGATTACCTTCTTGTGGTAAGATGTGGATCTAGAAATCCCATTATGTCGTTTAATGGCCACGTATCTTTTGTCCCCCCTGAACCCGATGGCAGATTCTTTAGCTGCCTCTTCATGCCGGTATATTTGTCCCTTAAAGTGACCCATCGTTGTTCACATTGAGATGCTGAGAGAAAAAATCATGAAATTACTAGATAAATATCCTAAATATTGTATTTATACTTACGAGATTGGTTTAGAATTTCGCCTATGGTTTTCCAAGCGTTCTCCCTGGCTAATTTATTCTTGAATTTCGGGTTTCTTACTGAAACTGGCAGAAACTCTTCTATCAATTTTGTTTATTCCTGTTTTGTTACCTCTTGCGTAATCCTAAAATGTCAAAAAATCATATGTTTAGCAAAACAATTACCTAATTTTTAGAGATTCGTCTACAGGGTGTTGCAAAAGTAGCTCAAGAAAAATAAAACTTATTTGCAAAATTTGCATTTGTTGTTTCAGATTATTTGAACATTCGACGTCGAACAGAAATTCGACGTCGAAGAGATCTGTGGGAAAAGATTCAAGAATGCCCGTCAAAGAAACAAAACCGACAGTGCACATATCTTAAAGAATACATAAGAGATTTAACAAATTGTCCAACTGATAAGTTACAAATTATTTCAAACCAGATTTCAAAATTTATCTTTGACCTTAAAACAAAATAGCTCAAAGCTTGCAGAGTTAAGGCAGTTTTTGGGAAAACCAATAAAACTTGGCTAGATACCAAAATGGTCTTTACCAACTATACACGCTCTTTAGACAAATCAAAAATTGGTCGCCCTTTGACTGATTTTTCATGTAGTTCCGATAGTAATAAGCGTCAGAAAACTGCTGACTTGTGCAAGGATAATTTGGTCGAGGTTATCTGTTATGCGGCTCAAATGGCGTTCAGAAAATCTGGTAATGACCTCCAAAATATTACAAGAAATTTTTAATAATACTACAATACACAGTTGCCCCCAGAGGAGGCACTTTCAGTTTTAGTGAAAGCGAACTTATCTCGTAATCAATATAATATAATTAGAGAAAAGGACAAAGCCAAATTTCCATGCACGCCAAGCAAGCCAAGCTCGCATGTTACCCTAATGATATAAAATTTAGTTCCAGTTGTGCAGAAGTTGAACTTCAATCTCTACTTCAGCACACCACCAAAAACATATTATATTATTACAAGAAGAAATTCTGGCTAGATTTGAACGAAAAATATAGAAGAAGGTATTCTTAATATGCAAATGGGGTTTTGTTGACTCTTCTGGACAAAAAAAATAAACAAAAATTGGAAAATGAATGTGATAGTGATTCAAGTGCATTTGTAACCTGGCTGGTGTCCATAAAACTAGTATGTGGAAGCCCCAATTCAAAAGACCCGACACAAGTTATCTGACAAAACCCCTGTCCGTCTTCTCCGCGATACTGCCGCCTTATCCGGATTCAGTTTACTCGGGAAACCATGGAAACATCACAATAGGAACAAAATTTTATCGAGAAACAGACAGAAAGTCTTCAGGAAACTATAATTGAAATTAGTGACATAACTGTGTGTGTTAAATACATCTTAATTTTAGCCATGATTGATAGCAAAGAAACAGCAATTTGTGCCTTCTTGGATATTGCGGGGGCGTTTGACAATATACCACATAAGGTGGTCGGGCGATCTCTAGAAACAAGAGGGGTGAACAGAACTATTATTCGCTGGTTTTGGGAAATGCTGTCAACACGAACAGCAGAGGCTCAGATGGGCACCAAAACTGTAGCTGTTAAAACAACGCAAGGAACTCCACAAGGTGGAGTAACCTCCCCTTTGCTGTGGAGCTTGGTGGTGGATGAACTACTAGATGAATTAACTCTAGCGGGAAATACACTGCATTGGGTATGCAGATACATAGTCATGATCGCTCGGGGGAAACATGCAGGCACCTTGTGTGATATTATCCAAAGAGGACTCCGTATCACTGAGAGATGGTGTAGGACTGTCGGGCTGAGTATCAACTCAGAAAAAACCGCGATAGTGCCATTCACCAGAAGGCGAAGTCTGAAAACCTTGAAAAGAATCCAACTAGATGGAAAGGAAATACTGCCAACACAGGAAGTTAAATACCTGGGAATAACCCTGGACAGTAAACTCCTGTGGAACAGGCATATTAAGAACACTACCAGCAAAGCCATAAAGGCTCTCATGATATGCAGAAGACTGGCGGGAAATAGATGGGGCTGCTCCCCTAACATTTTGCGCTGGATGTATACCATGATAGTAAGACCCATGATTACTTATGGAGCAGTTGCCTGGTACACAAAACTAGAGCAACGGACGGCAAGGCTAAACCTATGCAAAGTCCAGAGACTCAGACTCCAGAGACTCTGTGTTTGCATCACAGGAGCCATGAGAACCTGTCCAACAGCAGCAATGGAGGTTATTCTAGATCTAACACCACTGCACATTGTCATTGGTAGATTGCCAATGCGACAATGATTAGAATGGTCACTAACGGAATGAGTACTGGGAGAATTGTCAGATCAGGGGCTTGGAACACCCTCATAAAGGAAATACCACCCTGCAACTCCCAGTGGACGATATGCCAAGAACGTACAACTTTGAGAAACATCTCAATGTAGTATTGAGCAATAAAAAGGATTGGAAGAGCGAAACGCTTGCCCAGCAGTTAAAAAACCATACCATAACTTGGTATACTGATGCTTCCAAAACCAATACGGGAATAGGGATCGGAGTGTTTGGGCCGAAAGCTAAATACTCCGAACCAATGGGCACTTACCCTAGTATCCTACAGGCAGAAATCTACGCTATCGAGAGATGCGTACAACTTATCTTATATAGGAACTATCGGAAACAAGAAATAGCCATCTTATCTGATAGTCAAGCAGCGTTAAAGGCGATCAACTCAGTATCAATCAATTCGAAATTGGTCAAAGAATGCATAGAGAAGCTGAATAAATTGAAGAAAACAAAGTCCTCCTACACTGGGTGCCTGCTCACCAAGGGATAGAAGGCAATGAAAAAGCAAATAATCTAGCTAGGAAAGGAGCGAACACTCCACTAACTGGACCAGAACCGTTCTGCTTTCCAAGTGGTAACCAACTCAAGGCGGAACTCAAGAACTTGGAAGATTCCATCCGCAACCTGGAATGGAAATCTTGCAATGGTCTAAGACACTCGAAGAAGTTTCTGAGGGCTTATGATCAAGAAAAATCACAGACCTTCCTGGGTCTGAGTAAGAACAATCTTCGGATTGTCACGGGGTTTTTAACAGGACACTGTCTCCTCAATGGACACCTCAGTAGATTGAAACTAAGAGGAAACGGCGAATGCAGATTCTGTGGGGAAGATGGGGAAACACCAGTACACCTCATCACTGAGTGCGCCGAGACGACAACCATTCGTGCCATGAATTTTGGTACGACTGATATTGGAGATGGAGAACTACCCTCTATAAAACCGTCCCAGATACTGGCTTTTGTCAAAGCCCTGGGACTGTATGATGAGTTATGATTCAAGAAAGGGGGACACAATGGATCTGTAAGGTCGAAGTGATTAACCCCCCTCCCACTCATTCTAAATTCTAAAAAAAATTCTAGCCATGATTGATGGTAAAAACGAAATGCGTTAACAAATAACAAAAGCACGCAAAAATGTTATATTTGTTCTTCAGGACAAAAAGATTTCAATAACATTCTATCAATGATATCAAAACCTTGCGATACTTCTTTATACCGTTTTGCCTTTCCGTCTTGCACTCTCGTATCCGGGTTTTTGAATATATTTTGCACCTTCCTTATAAAATACCAGTAAAATGTTGGCAAGTTAGAGACGCTACTGATAAAGAAAAAGTTTTTGAAAATAAAAAGAGAATTCAACGAGAATTTAAACAGGAACTAGGATTAATAACTGATCAACCAAAACCGGGATACGGGAGTAGCACTGACGGAAATACGGCAAGACGTTTCTTTGGGAATGCGGAGGTTTCCTCTAAAATAACACATATTGATTTAGAGATCTTAAAAAAATTAAGTGTTACTTTGGAAGTCATTACCAGTGATCATAAAATTAATGCCGATTTATTTGAAATGTATTGCCTGAAAACGGCACAATTACTCGTAGATAAATATCCTTGGTATTATATGACGCCAACAGTTCATCTAATTTTCGTCCTACTTCCGGTTGGCCAGCTCTCAGAAGAGGCTGCAGAAAGTAGAAACAAAGATTTTCAAAAGTATCGAGAAAGCTTCACTAGAAAACCAGCTATAGAGAAAACTAATGAAGATGTTTTCAAGAGGCTTCTTGTCTCTCTTCAGATCCTTTTATTACGGGCATTAGAAAAACTCAAAAATTAAAGAGATATATTTTTTGCAGCGAAGCATTAACCATGCTTTTACCACCGGTGACATCGGCAATGGATGCTGTTGACTAAATTAATAAAGATTCTGATAGTGATAACTCTTTGGACTGTAATTTTGCTTAAAATAATTTTTGTTCAATGAAGTATAAAATTTTGGTTAGTGTCTCTATTTTCAGTTAATACATTATCAAACCACCGAAATATTATTATTTTTAATTAATTAAAAAAATGTTAATTTAGTATTTTGATAATGTTTGAAGTGTGTCCTGTACCAAGATATTTCGTCTTGTTTTATCTTTTTTTCATTTCGCCACTTTTAAATTTACTTTGCCTTCAGCAAGTGTAATTTCAAGAAGAGATATTTTTGTTATAAAATATAGTTATTAATATAGAAAAACTGGGAACTAGTGGGGTTGCAGTCGGAAGCAAACCCTTCCGACTGCAACCCCACTAGTTCCTAGATTTTCTTTCTCACTAGTCAGTCGATACTACTGTCTGGATATTAATATATGTATCTACTAATACCTACTAAGCAGTTTTACTACTTAAATTTCTTATAACTTTTTAATGGATAGCCTGTACCTAATTAAAAGGTATCCGTTATAATGAAACACCCTGTATATCTCAGCTGTTATTAATTTGTGACATTTACATTTTAGATACATTTCAGAATACGAAAGTACAAGCTTTAATGCTTTCCAGAATTGTTGGTAAGTTTTGATACTTTTGGCCCCACTGTGCGACATCCTGAAGACATGGAACAACCCGAGCAACTCCGTTTTCTTTTACCCAAGGAAAACCAATCTGCAGACAAGCCTTCTACATCAGAACTCGATGATATCGAACTAGAAGAAACCCCGTCACATCGCATCAAACGATCCGCTTCAAAGAAGACACTCTAAGTTTAGTGTTGTGCATAGTGACAAACTTTATTCTGACTCTTTTGTTTCCATGAACTTCTTTTTTATTTCATTTATACATTATTCTTTGATTCATTATATTTTACTTTATTCCTATTTTATGTTAAGTTAGAAACATTGATACATATGATTCTTTAAATACTCTTAAAATATCAATTACTCAATCATATCTAAGTATCCTACTAACCATTTTAAATAACTATTATAAAAGTAATACTTACTTTTCAATATTTCACATTCCTTCGGGAATCTTTAATATCAGTATTTTAATAAAGCACGCTTTTAGATGTTTCAAAAAACTTTTAATAAGAGTAACTTTAACTCTACATATATGATTCGGCTTGTTAGGCCTTTTTCAAGAGTTTTTTAAGAACTAATCGTCTAACTACACTGTAACTATATATATATATATATATATATATATATATATATATATATATATATATATATATATATATATATATATATATATATATATATATATATAAAAAGATAAGGTTACCGATGGGTTCCCCAATTTCACCGTTATTCGCAGAAATATTTATGGCAGATTTTGAAAAGAAGCTATTTAAAAACAAGAGTAGTTTAATATCAAAAATAAATTATTGGGCAAGATATGTAGATGACATTTTTGTATTTGGTCAGGCACCGAGAGAAATTTAAACAGTTTTTAACATTATTAAATTCAATTAACCCGAGAATACAATTTACTATTGAAAAAGGTATTAATACCATCAATTTTCTTGATGTTACAATTATAAAACAGTCTAATAGATTACAATTTGATATTTACAGGAAACCCACTACCACAGACACTGTAATACATAGTCAATCACACCAATCCTGGCAAATCAAAATGTCACCCTTTCATAGTTTAATTCATAGATTAGTAATGTTTCCACTGAGCCCAGAGAATTTTAAAAAAGAGTTAAATATTATTAAACAGATCGCCATCAACAATGGATATAAGTGTTCCCTTATTGATAATATGCTAAAGAAAAAACAAAACAAAATATTAATGAAAAATTTTTAATCCGCTAATTCTAAAGACAATAACAATTATCAACCTTTAAACTACATTCCTAATTTAACTAACAAAATATCAAATAATCTCAATAAAATAGGATGTAAAACTATTAACGTAAATAAAAGAAATTTAGGTCAAATTTTATTAAATAATAAAGACAAAACTAATGTCAAAAATAAGTCGGGTGTATATAGGGTGGATTGCAATACTGTGATGCCGTGTACATAGGCCAAACAGGTAGAAATTTAGATATAAGGATT